ATGATCAAACTACCCCATTCAATTTAAGAAATTTACATCTTCACTTAGGTATAATCCTAAATAATATAAAAAATATAATTATAACTTTTTTAGAACCGTCAAATGAGATAACTAAAAATGCCATCTAACTTTTTAACCCCCAAGTCGTAAACACAGCTTTTAACTGAACTGGTTAAAAGACCGCATATTAGATAGACCAGAAAAAATAAATTGGTCTTTTTAACTTGGGCAAATTACATATACACCCCTCCAGGTTTGGTTAAATTACAAATATCCCCCTGAGGTTTCGGAAATTACATCCCGCCCCCTGAAGTTTGTATTTTCATAACAATTTACCCCCTGAGGTTTATATTTCATAACAAATTACCCCCTAATTTCTTATGCAAATATAGCATTCAGGGGGGAATTCGTAATTTCTCAAACCTCAGGGGGGTATCTGTAATTTTGTCAAACCTGGAGGGGTGTATATGTAATTTGCCCTTTTAACTTTTATTCAAGATTACAAGATATGATAAAATAGGGGAGGGGGATATTATATATCTACCAATTTTGAAAAATATATAATCTCATAATAAATTATATCCTCTGTTAAAAAAAAAGAAAAAAAGAAAAAATTACAAATATAAGATACATGAATCCCACCGTATGTAATATCTAATTTAACCCATTATATCGAAAATCAGACGGGCTTAAAAGAAAACACAAAAAATAAATGAGTTTAACTTTTCAGCAATGCTAGGTGGTCACAAATTCTGTGGCTCGAATGGCCCGAAACTGCCAAAACGACGTTATTTTGGGTGCAAAACAAGTCAAAACGACGTCGTTTTAACAATTTCAGACCATTTGAGCCACAGAAATTGTGGCCACCAAACATTTTTCTTAACTTTTTCACGACTCAGTTGTAAAATACTAATTTACGAAAAGCCAATTGAAAGGTTCCACATCAACATTTTATTGAATTTTATAAAAATTTTACATCCATTACCATACACTCACCTTTATATGATCACTCCTCTCTTCTTCTTTCACACATTCATCTCTATCGATCCCTTTCTCTCACCATCACCGAGGGCTACCGCCATTACCTTGGCGTATTTGGACAGCAAAATTAGCTTTTAACTTATTTTACATCATATTATTTTTAATATTTTTACATATTTTTCAAAAAAAATTGTAAATAATTAAAAAAAAAAATCTGTTGTTAACCCTCTTCCTAAAACGCTTATCTAAAATCCCCCACTCTCGCCATGATTATCGATTTCCTCTTGCTCATCTCACTCCTCCAAGGCCATGTTGTGCTGTTTTGGAAAGATGGTAAAAAGTTAATAATTTAATTTTTTTTGTTTTTTTCAGTGATTTTTTTACAAAAAATTGGATTGTTTTGAATAAAAAAAAATTAATTTTTTTTGACTAAAAAAATTAAAAGGTCAAAAATTGTTCCCAAAAGACCCCATTATAACTAGGAAAAAAACAAAACTCTTATGCGATCAGCAATTTTGAAAGAATCTAATTAGATTTGGTTTGGACTAGAATCAAATCATGACACAATATTGCCAAGTTTTGAAGACCCCAAGACCATTGAAGAATTCAAGATGAATTGTTTCAACAGGAACCACCCAGAACCTTCTAACCCCTGCTCGTGGAGATCCCACACCACCTTTTCCACTACTGCAAATTTTTGTTAGGTGCAAGTATTACTTGTGGTGGATGGAAGTATATTATTGACATAGTTGGAAGATGATATGGGAGGAGTCGGAAAGTGGGTAAGAGAAGGGTTTAAAATGAAAAAGGTGGACGAGAGAGGGTAGAGAAGACTTAGCCCTCGTTTGGCATGGGCTACCAGGTTAAAATAGTCAAAAAAAAGACAAAATAAGTTTAAATGTCAATAAGACAAAATATTACATTCAAACTATAATTATTTTATTTTTTCTCTCACAAAAGTCAAAAAATCAAAAAGTCCAACCGAAACAAGGCTTTTAGTCACAAGCTAAAATAGCCAAAAACCCAAAAAGTCAAAAATCCAACTCACTTCTTAAACAAAGCCTCAGGGAAATTGGAGGAGTGATTGTCAGTGGTGGTACAAGAATTACAAGAAAAAAGAAGAAGAAGAAGAAGAAGAAGAAGAAGAGGAAGAAGAAGATGCTGAGGTTATTTTCGTAAATTAAAAGGTAATTTCCACCTTTTTGTATATAATTATTGAGTTAATTACCTAAAAATCCTTTTCACAAATGTTATGGTAGCTCAAGTTCTATCTAAGATTTTTTGAACCAATAAATTCTATTTAATAAAACTGAAAATATTATTTGTTTTTTTCTAATTTTTAAAACTAAGAATATTATCAATTTTGCATAGTAATGTTGTAGATAATTGCTTCACTAATTGAGGGGGGAAAAAGAGAATATGAGATTAAACGTTTTTATCTTTTTATTATTGGTTTGATTCTATAATATTATCAATTTTCTTCAATTTTAAAACTGATAACATTATCTGTTTTTTTATTTTTAATTTTTTTTTCTAATTTTGCACATCAATGTTCCATCATCATATTCCCTTATAGACACAAAATTTTCAATTTTGTACAAAAAAATAATTCAGCTTTTTCATTTTTTCAAAAAAGACATTTATTTTTTTCAATTATTTCAATTTTAAAGTTGATATTTTAAAGTTTTGAAAATCAAAATAAATGTCAAATCATCATATTTTATTATAGATAATCATAAATGATGAATAATATTATTTGAAAGACAATTTTAACCATTAAAAATTTAATAGGATCTAAAATTACTATGATATAAGGAATGCATTTCATAATTCTCCATATACATTATTCGGTGGAATTACTAATCTCAAATTTGGACAGGACGAACCATAGATTCATGCCATGCGTATTAGACTTTTCAAAAGTAGTTAGGCACCCTATGATAGACATGGATAAGATTGAGATTGAGTATACCAAAAAAAAAAAAAAAAAAGGATGAGATTGATGAGGCAAATTTACAATAATTGTATTTTATTTATGAGCCATACAAAATAGTGTGTATCTTATGCAAGCCCTAATATTTGTGTGATTAATTATTACAAATGTTATAATTGAATATTTTTTTAAGTCATAACTAAATAATAAAAAATATGAATCAGAACCAAACATTATATAAGATATAACAAAAGACTTTTGTTGATTACAACTAAATAATATCATAATCAACATTATAATAAGTCATAACTCACATTACAATATATATAACCAAATCATAATTAATATTACAATAAATCATAATCAAATACTACTAACATCGTAACTAATGCCATATGATAGACCCTCCAAAATGAATTATGTATCATATAATTTTCCTATATATATATATATATATATATAAATACATGTGACAAACAATATACAGAAATGTTTTGTAGCTCGAAAGTTTTCCCCTCAAATCTCCGAATCCCCCGACTGCCCAAAACGACGTCGTTTTGGGCAGTTTATTTTTTTTATTTTTCTCCTTTTGTTTGAAACAGAGGGAGAGAGAGGGAGAAACAGATGGAGAAAGAGAGAGGAGGAGAGGAGAGAAGGGAAACAGAGAGAGAGAGACGATGGCGATGGTGGTGCGAGCGACGGTGATGGAGGGTGCGACGGTGGATGCGACGATGGATGCTCACCCTTGCGATTTCTGGCTCTGATGTGTTGATGATGAAGATGAAGATGATGTGTTGATGATTGTGATGGTGATGGTGATGCTGATGAAGATGTTGTTGTTGTTGATTGTTTGTTGATTTTTTTTTTTTTTTTTTTTTCTAGTAGATCAAGATCTGAATCCAGGTCTAAAAGGGGAAAAAAAAATGCTGGCTGATGATGATGTGATGAAGAAGATGTTGTTGATGATGATGATGTTCTTCTTCTTCTTCTGCGTCTTCTTCTTCTTCAGACAAACGGGAAGGAAAAAAGGAATAAATAAATAAATAAATAAATAAATAAATCCCAAAACGATGTCGTTTTGGGATTTCGGGTGATTCGGGGGGCTTCCAATTCGAGCTACGTAGCGCGATTGAACAATATATAATCAGTTTGAACTTAGTTAATCAATATTTTTAAAGCACTCATTAACAACACTACTACTTAGTAAGACTAGTTAAAGATGCTAAAACTAATAAGATGCCAAACATTTTTTTTATTGCTTTTATTTTTTTGGCCTGAGCCCTCTTCTACAATCTTTGTGATCTTTACACTGGGTTTGATTGAGGGATTTGAAGCGGAATTTTGGAAAGGAAAATAGAAAAAACAGATGAAATGTGAATAAAATATACCTAAATTTCACATAGTTTCACACACCGTTTTGATTTATTCACATTTCACCTACTTTTTTCATTTCCCTTTCTAAATCTCTCCTCAAATCCCCTTAACCAAACACACCATTAAGGGCTTCTTTTATTGTATTTCCAATATTGTATTTTATTTTTGTATATTTTTTAGAACAATAAATAAAAAGTTCAAAAATATCCATAATTTTTCTATTATTTTCATCTTTTGTACAAAAACAGTTTTCAGACATTCAGAAACAAATTTATGTGATTTCATAAAAAGTCCAAAAAAAAAAAAATCCAAAACCATTTGTAAAATGCAACTTCACATCATTCTAATGAATTTATATAAATTTTTTAAATGAGGGGTCATTTCTTTTTCTTTTTCTGAAAAATTAAGAAGACTGGAAATGAGTTGGGAAAGGCTAGGGGGAAGATTGTCACTGAATTAGGGATATTTTAGTCAATTTAAATACCATGCTGGGCGAGCAAGGTCAAATGTTGTTGAGACATTTTTTCTTGAAAATGATAGAAGCAACTTTTAAATAAACTGAATTGGTTTTCCAATAAATGTTGGTACACTCTTTAGATTTCTTGGTCAACAAATTTTCAATTATAAACTAAACAATTTCTTATAGAAAGTTACTTGTATCTGATATCGCTGTTGCTATTATTCATTAATGGTAGTTTGGAAACATTTACAGGATCAGAACGTTCTTGATCGAAGGGTTTTGCTGCCACACCCATAACGCTGCATGGCATACCCTACACAACATCATATGTGGGACTGCTGGCAAAATTGATGGATACTTGGACACCGTCCGAAATGTTCTAAAATGCAATGTCACCATATTCCATGGTAGAGACGATGAACTCATTCCTGTAGAATGTAGCTACAATGTACAATCTAGAATTCATCGTGCACGTGTTAAGGTGATTGAGAACAAAGATCATATCACCATTGTAGTCGGAAGACAGAAGGCATTCGCCAGAGAACTTGAAGAAATTTGGAAGTTGTCTTCAACAGATTATTAATTGAAACCTCTCTTTTTTGCAATGCTAGACAGAAGAAGTGAAGACAAGCACCAGATTATCCTATATATCTAACCAATTCAAGATGGTCTTGAAATTTGGCATGTTTTCTCCCGTATCTTTTCTTCATTCATCAAGTATGAACTTTTAGTAAGGCCTAGTGAAATATTAGCCATTATTTTTTTTGGGATATGAATGCCTAACAATGGTCTGCCTTCTAATTTACCACTTTTTTTTTTTTTTTTTTTTTTTTTTTTTTTTTTTTTTTTTTTTTTTTTTTTTTTTTTTTTTGAACGGCAAAAAACACTACAAAAAATTAAGTTTTAGAGACCAAAATTTAAGGATAAAACTACTTGTTAGGCGCCAAATAATTTTGTTGCAAACAATGTCGCAATTATATTTTTAGCAACAAAAATTGGACATTAGTGATGAATTATTATCCTTTTGGGACCAAATTTTTTCTCTAAAAAAATAAACTATTTTGAGATCAAATTATTTTATCCCTAAAAGTCTATTTATTAGTGACATTTTCAAAATTTTGTCGCTAAAAGCCTTATTTTTTACTTTTCGGGACGACCTTTTAGCGACTATCCTCATGACGATAGAAATTGGTCCCTAAATATATTTTGCAACAAAATTTTCACTTTTAGAAACCAAAACATTTGGTCTCTAAAACTCTTACATGTTGTAGTGAAAGAGACTTTATTGATGTAAGAATAGAGTACAAGGTACAAAACAAAATGTATCAATAAAGAGAGGAAAACCCAAAAGAGAGGAAAACCCAAAAGCATCATAATGGGCTAAATCATCCCAACTAGGTTGGTACTAAAGAGCCCATTCTATCATTTGCTAGTACCTGTTGGCTTATTTTTCCTAAGAAGGAAAATATCATAAATGCGAGTGTGCCAATAAGGATTGAAAAATCCTTACAGATTAAATTTAAGCCAATTATCAAACGATTGAGTTGACGGCTCTTTTGCCTCAACAAAGAGGACTTCAAAATTGCCAGGTATAGAGAAAAAGAAAAATTAAAAGAAGAATAAGGGAGACGAAGAAAGATGATTGAGTGAACAATTAAAATAATAATTACTTACATCTACTCCTATGCTTTGAAAATGAAGTGCATAAGATAGTTCGAAAAGGAAACGCTGAAAATAAATGTTTCGAAATATAAATCTATGTTAAACTACACCTAAGATAAGGAAAATGACAAGAAATATTGAAATCAATTGTCTTTGATTTGAATTCTGGATATTTTACAATGTAGCCATGAATGGCTATTTATAGGAAAATATTTGTAGGAAAATATTTGTAGGAAAAAAACTTCCAGCAATAACTATCCAATAACCACCTAAACCTACCCACTCTTCCACCTTCATTCCTATAATGCCACATATCCTTCCATGTCTTCATAACTTCCTTTAACTTCCAATTCATATTCCATGTTCTCCACTTTATTCTCTATCATTTTTTCATATTTCATAATTTCTCATAATTTCTCATATTCCTATAATGCCACATATCCTGCAATTATATAAATAATAAATAATAATAAAAATTACAGATTTATGGTGCCAACATTACCTCTCGCGGCCTTTAAAAAATGATGTTTACTTGAATTTTTGAAGGGCTGAACCAAACACATGACTAATCTAAGCAATAAAGTGCTTCAATAATTTCTCATAATTTCCAAATGAGTAGGAAGATGCCACATATCCTGCAATTATATAAATAATAAATAATAATAAAAATTACAGATTTATGGTGCCAACATTACCTCTCGCGGCCTTTAAAAAATGATGTTTACTTGAATTTTTGAAGGGCTGAACCAAACACATGACTAATCTAAGCAATAAAGTGCTTCAAATAATATCAATAAAGTGCTTCGAATGATATAATAGCACCAATAAAATGCTTCGAATGAGCATGAAATTATGATTAGATGTTGTGAATTATATATACACGCATTGAAGGAATGTTATTGCAGAAAAGCTTCGAATGATAACTACATATTTTCAAGGCAAAGTCAATGATTCACCTTAGCAAACTGTTACACATGCTAAATAACCAGCTGCGAAGGTGGTATAGAGGGCCAAAATCATCATTTGAAGGTCGAAAGTGTCGACAAAGGACGAATTACATCCTTATAAATACTCGGCAAAGCTTCGAAGGTTCACAATCATCACTATTCAAATTTTGTATGTTTTGGTTCACACATAATTAATGAAAAATATTAATTTTATGCTTTAAACCAACTATTAATTCTCCGAAGATACTAAAACCGTTGTTCTTCGAGCCAATTTTTGTAGACTACTAGTTACACTTTCATGTAACAAATGGCTATAAAAATGGTTATTAGTAAAGCCACTAATTATCATGCCAAAAATAGGCATTATTCGATAATTAATTAATTGTTATTTTACATATATTTGAAGGGAGTTACACATTTCGAAAGTTTTCTCGTCCCATGTTACATTTCGAAGGTGTTTATTAATGATAAAACCACCATTCGAAAAGTCACATACGTTACTAAAGGATCAAAGTTGTCCTTCAAAAGTGCTCACGACATCTCTTCGAACCAAATCCAAAGAGTTGGATTACTATGAAATTAGTTTGACATTTTAACTACCCATTAATGGCTATAAAATGATATTTCAATGAATAACATGCTTCGAAGTGTCCTGAGACATGCTTCGAAGGTAACCACAAAACCAAATGGTGATGGTTTTATGGATCAACGACTAACAACATTTTTGGGTCAATATATTGCAATAACGAAATATTATTTGTTAGTCATTCCATCAAAATCAACGTTTGATGTGATCCACAAATCCAAAATGGATTTCGAACGACAAAAGTCATGGTATAGTATGAGCATGAAAATTCATACTTTTTGACACTTTGAAAAATGTCAAAAATTTTGAATTCATGAACAGTGGTTTTTTCATTATTCTTGACCATGTTTGTTTTAAAAACATGACTTTTGCCGAATTGATTTTCATAATTATTTGGCAAAGTGGGTTGTTTTTCCATGTTAGCCATTAATGGCTTATGAAAATCACCCATAGATATGTTATTTTCATGCCTTGACTCTCTAAAAATTGGTTTTGAAAGCCCCCAAGCCATGCATGGAACATCATTCTTAGCCAAATTTGGCTCAAAAACAAGCTTAATTTCATAATTTGGCTCTTTAAAAACGGATTCTTGAACCCCTCGAGCCATTAATAAAATCAACTCATTGCTTTTACTATTTTTAACCATGGAAAAATTCTGAAAAAATTCACCAATTCCGGCCATTAAAGCCTCAGTTAAAGACTTGATAGTGAGAGTTGATAACTTATCATTCCATTGGCGAATTTCCATATCAAGTTGATGAATTTCTCCAATTAAATGGTGTCTTTTTTCTTCCACCAAATAATATTGTAAGGGATGAAAATTTATTTCATCAAGAAAATGGATCTTTTCTTGAAGATCTAAACTTTTTTGTTTACGCCAATAAATTTCATTTAGGCTATTTAAAATGGACAAATCCAATTCATTTTTCATTTATTACACTTGACGTCCCACCGAGCGTGCCAAAAAATGTTGGCTTATTTTTCCTACGAAGGAAAATATCATAAATGCGAGCGTGCCAGCAAGGATTGAAAAATCCTTACAGATTAAATTCAAGCCAATTATCAAGCGATTGCGTTGACGGCTCTTTTGCCTCAACAAAGAGGACTTCAAAATTGCCAAGTGTAGAAAAAAGAAAAATTAAAAGAAGAAAGAGGGAGACGGAGAAAGACATTTGAGTGAACAATCAAAGTAATCATTACTTACCTCTACTCCTATACTTCGAAAAGGAAGTGCATAAAATGCTTTGAATTTCATAATTTGGCTCTTTAAAAACGGATTCTTGAACCCCTCGAGCCATTAATAAAATCAACTCATTGCTTTTACTATTTTTAACCATGGAAAAATTCTGAAAAAATTCACCAATTCCGGCCATTAAAGCCTCAGTTAAAGACTTGGTAGTGAGAGTTGATAACTTATCATTCCATTGACGAATTTCCATATCAAGTTAATGAATTTCTCCAATTAAATGGTGTCTTTCTTCTTCCACCAATTAATATTGTAAGGGATGAAAGTTTATTTCATCAAGAAAATGGATCTTTTCTTGAAGATCTAAACTTTTTTGTTTACGCCAATAAATTTCATTTAGGCTATTTAAAATGGACAAATCCAATTCATTTTTCATTTCTTACACTTGACGTCCCACTGGGCATGCCAAAAATTGTTGACTTATTTTTCCTACGAAGGAAAATATCATAAATGCGAGCATTCTAGTAAGGATTGAAAAATCCTTACAGATTAAATTCAAGCCAATTATCAAGCGACTGAGTTGACGGCTCTTTTGCCTCAACAAAGAGGACTTCAAAATTGCCAACTGTAAAGAAAAGAAAAATTAAAAGAAAAATAAGGGAGACGAAGAAAGATGATTGAGTGAATAATCAAAGTAATAATTACTTAACTCTACTCCTACGCTTTGAAAATGAAGTACATAACATACTTTGAAAAGGAAACGTTGAAAATAAATGTTTTGAAATATAAATCAACGTTGAAAATAAATGTTTTGAAATATAAATCTATGTTAAACTACTCCTAAGATAAGGAAAATAACAAGAAATATTAAAATCAATTATCTTTGATTTGAATTCTGGATCTTTTACAATGTAGCCATGAACGGCTATTTATAGGCAAATATTTGTAGGAAAAAAACTTCCAGCAATAACTATCCAATAACCACCTAAACCTACCCACTCTTCCATCTTCATTCCCACAATGCCACATATCCCTCAATGTCTTCATAACTTCTTTTAACCTCCAATTTATACTCCATGTTCTCCACTCTATTCTCCATCATTTTTTCACATTTCATAACTTCTCATAACCTCTAAATGAGTAGGAGGATGCCACATGTCATGCAATTATAGAAATAATAAATAATAATCAAAATTGCAGATTTATGGTGCCAACATTACCCCCAGAGTTGGTGAGAAACCAACCAAAGAAACAGAACAAACACCTCAACAACAAACTCCAACAGCCAACATATCAGCAATCCCACAAAAAAAACAGAACTAGCAGCACAACAAAATAACCAGCTGACTCAGCCACCATATCTACAGAGTTGCAAACAGAACAGATAAAGAAGCAGACCAACCTA